CCGGAAAAGACCAATTAATCCAAATACTTTCAGATCATGCTGATGACGAGAGGAATGGGGGAAAAAAATCCACTCCAAAACTTGAAACTAGAGAAAAATTCTAATTTCTGTAAAATAGTGACCAGATCAATAAATGTTACTGAATTCAATAAAAGTTACAAAATCTGTCCACTCTTATTCCCGTAAAAGAGATATGTTAGGGTCAGGGGATACTTATCTTCTCCTTATGGCAGATAAGTGATTTTCAAAGTGAGTAGATATAGGAGCTGCTATTATTTTGAAAGAACATAATCTTAATATAGTAGTTATGTAAAACCCACAGATATTCCTTCAAAATATATTCATGTTAAATAGGAGCCTGGAAATAGGGCGGGGGAAAGGAGGAAAGGAGATATGTCGAAGATTCTGGAAGCCCAGCAATGCCCCTGGTAGCTCTATTACCAGATGAGATCATGGGTGCATATAGAAAGAGCCATCCAATTGTCATTAGAAAAATGAGGGTCTCCAGCAGGTCCTAAATCACTCCTAGTGTTTTCCCCCATTGAATTTCTATTAGCAGCCATCAGACGTCTCTTCTAAAGAAAACAAGATGAGGAGAAGGAAGGGGAAGTAGCATATAAAGACAGATATGGACAATAAATGGAAAATACTGCTAAGAGCTCCTTAACGTCCTCTATAAAAAGACCATCGCAAATACCTTTGCCTCGCTCTGTGTTTCTGTGGTGCCCAGGAGCTGATGGAGCTAGTAGTGTAAAGGGAGGCAGAGAGGGGAAGGTGAACGAAAGAAGAATCTGCATTTCTCCGTGTGGTTCGGTGAAGACAGAAGGGAGAACCCCTTCCCAGAGCAGGTGGACGTGGCTGCCAGGAAAGCTGGGAGTCTCTCTCCTCTCCACGAGTGGGTCCTTCAGCAGAAAAACTGCTCAGGAAGGATGCAGGGCGGGCCCTTTCTCTCCCTTTTGCAGATGACAGTGTTCGTGGTTTGAAGAGGCTGGATTTCTGCTACTTGAATGTCTACAGGGCACGGTCTCTTGTCCTTCCTCGGAACGCGAGTGCCCACACGTGTAGATGTGAT